TTTAATGTTTTTCTGCTTCTTTTAACTAATAAACAGAAAGTAGGGATATTGACCACTATCACCACTAGAGGGAGCAGCAACCTCACAGCAAAGCTGTCAACTCTGCTTATTGAAAAACTAACAGATTGCTTTTTCTTTCTTTTTTACCACTTTCTACATTTTACATACAAATACAAATGTAGATACAAAACAATTTAGCAAAAACTATAAAGAATTGTGTAGTCAACTTTTTCAATATTATATTGCAACATTTGTTTTAATAACTGATTTTCACACTTTTTTGGCTTTTTGTTACTGAGGCGTTGCAGACCTGAAGGACATCCTGATTTAATGATTTTTATTTTACTCCAGGGTATCGCCACTCCTCTCAGCATTTTTCAGGTCACTGGTTGACTTGCTGTGACTGATTAACTACATTAAGAAACATCCCTTCAATTAAAATTCTCTTGATGCAATGTTCTTCCACCTCCCTCTGCCCTAAAGATGACCTTCTTACTCTGTCCTCCCTCCAGACGTTCATCGGCCGCTTTAGAAGAACGATGGACTCGTCTCAGAATGCCTACAATGAAGACACATCTGCTCTGGTGGGACGGCTGGACTGCTTGGAGAAGGTTCTGTTCAGGTCCGGTCAGAACGGCCTGAACGGCTTTCAGAGCTGGGAGAAGGGTCAGGCCTCGCAGCTCACAGCCTCCAGCCTGGTCCTGAACTACCGCAAGAGGAAGCTCATCGATGTTCAGGCCTGACCTCGGACCCTTAGAGCACATTTACCTTGGACCTGATCTAAACCCGACCCAATGCTGGAACAGAAACACCAGCTGGAGGGAAAACCCATTAAAACCTTTCATGTCTCAATGTTTTATCTTTCTGTATGACTATAAGTGAACGTTTCATGTTTTTGTTAAGATTAAAGAGATGTACTCATTTTAAAATGAGATTTAAAAAAATCAAGCATAACTTAACTTGTACAGTAAAGCTCAGCTTAACTTTGGTAAGAAAATAATAAAATAAAGCAGCGCACTCAGTGATCTTCTTAACCATCTGCTGCATCTGTTGTGTTGCTGTTGTTACAAGCTAATGATGTCAGTCCAGATGTTCTCCACAGCGCTGGGTTCTTCTGAAGCTGTGAAACATGAATATTTGGGGTATATCGTGATAGAGAAGCAAAGTCCATTTTTATTTTATATTTCTCATCAAAAACGCAAAAAAATGAAAGGTTATATGACAAATTCAGGCGCAGGAAGGCTGTGCAAGGCAGCTGGTAAACATTTGAAGGACTTCGCTTTAAAACTCTTATTCAATGCGTCGGTGTAATATTAAATATGTTTTCATAACTTATTAAAAACCTTTCAGTTAGAATTACTATATAAGAACAGTAACAGATGATCTGGTCTCTATAGATTCATGGATATTCAATGTCATCCTCTTATTACAATTTAGCAAAACTAAAGTGTGGTAAATTTGGTGTTAAATTGTTGGAATCCACATTTTTGGTTAAAACTGTCAGACAAACATGGACACTGGGGGAAAAAGTAAAGATGGAAATTAGAATTCAGGCCTTAAGTGCTAAAAATGAAGCATGGTTCCAAGCTAATGTAATTGGGTTAAATAAAAGTAGGGCTCAGCAAAGTGGCTTGAAAATAAAATCTGATTTATTTATTTATTTTAGTCCTGTCTAGCAATGTTTCATTAACAATTGTCTTAATGCCAGAAAGAGCCCAACAGGTAGCTTTGGTCAAAGCGCTCTCCTTGATTTATGTATGCAAATATATAAAACCATATCTCTGATCTGAAATCTGATTGAAAAGATTGTTTTCCTCTTTATTTCACATAAAAAAGCGTTTGCTTTGGGAGTTGTCCTGATTCAAAGTGCAGCTAAATGTCACCTGTAAAAGATGCAAGCAAAGCAAGATGGCAGACGGGAAAGTGTGAAATTAGCTAAGAACAGACTTCATCTGTGGAACTTAAAACTAGTTCAAATAAAATGAATAAAGTTTCTCGTCTCGCGGTAAAAAATGTCCTATTTTTAATGTTTTGACAGTATTTTTCTAAACATTGAGCGTTGCAGGCCGTTCTACACATTGTTAGGATAATTATCATTATCATGTGTGAGTTTATTACACCTTAAGCTGCCTGTTGCGTGTCAGAACTGATGTTTTCTCAAATAGTTTCTCTAATTAAGACAGTTTCTGTTATAATCTTTATTCTGTACGTACTGCAAATGTTTGGGAATGCAATGAGAGCGCCGTCCTTCAGCTAAGAACAAAGTGTAATATTTTGATAAGGCTGGAGTCATGGATGTCTCCTCATCTGCTGATGTGTGTGATGTTTATCGGGGCCAATTTCCAAGAAGTGAGCCCAGTTGGTAAGCAGCTGCCTTCTGTAATTCTAAGCAACTATTAGAATTATTTTTTTTCTATTAACATTATCTCCCAGATTCTGAACCAGATATCTTTAATCAAGGTGAGCTTTCTGCCATTTCAGCGCATCAGGTCTATTTGGGGCTGATTGCTGCCATTGAAATGCCCCAAATAGACCTAATATCTATCAATGTTTAGATTTTAAAGTTAAATGGATCTTAAAAAGACAACAAATGGATCAATATGTTTGCATTTAAAAAGATGTTCTCAGAATTTTAAGAGTTAAACTGTCTTTCAACCCTCAAAGTTGCAATATTATTTGTGCTTTTTAACAAAAATTCAATAAGCGGTTCAGTTTTACACAGACCTTTTTTCATACACCACAGCATGCCCTGACTGTTTTATCCACCAGGGCAGAGCTTGTTCAGTTTTGACAGCAGAGGGATTTCCCTACATCTTTACACAGTAGATATGGAGTCCAGGCAGGTTCCTCAGAGACTAAGACCAAAACAAAAAGAAACTTTAGAATAAGACCTCTATTCCTGGACATGGTTTTTTTTTCCCTCAAAAAATTATTATTGCACAAAATGTAAATAATAAGATTGATTGTTTACCTCAAACTATGTAGTACAAATTCATAAAAAAAAACAAATATCTTATTTAATGCAATCAAGAATCAATAAGCAATCTCAGAACCAAGTTAATCAGCCTATGTTGCAAACTAATTGGTTAAAAAGGTTTGCCAGAATTTTCTCTTAAAAGCAAACTAAAAATATTTTTACTAATTTTCAGGATAAAAATGAAGAGACAAAATGAGACTTTTAATTAAGGTTTTAATATTTAGTTCTCATGCTGAACACCAGACTGAATCGTCTAAAATCTCATTACACACACACATATATATATATATATACATACATATATATAGTTATTTATTTTTTTATTTTATTTAGGTGAGAAGGTAGCATGCAGCTTTACTCCCATAACTTCGGTTGCCTTTGCTTTTCATTAACGTTCAGTTTGCTTGCTTATCTTTATTTTTTTATTTGTGGCAAAAATCGTGCCTTTATTTTGATAAAAAACATCGGGGTCTCAAATTGACCTCAACTAAAATTTTCAAGGCCAACAAAACAAGACAGAAACGAGGAAAATATGTTTTTTCAGACTCGAGTAAGCCTATACTAAAGCCTTTTGAACCAAATCTCATAAACCGGAGGTCTTCAACA